TTTTCTTATGGAATGAAATGCTCTTCAATTCTAAGTTGGGAGCACACGCTTTGAGCTGAGCAAAGTGTGATTAAATCCATTTGAGTCTGGAGACAAAATGTCTTTTTTTATTGCTCCCCCCCCCCCTCCTCTATATGTTATCATATCTTTCACTGAGACCGTGGCCTACGACTAGTACGCTTACCCTTGTCATATTATTCTATGGCTAAAATGGCTGCTACCTTGCTGGCTCTTCACTTTCACCAAACCTTCTTGCGACTGCCATGCGAGCCCTCGAAGAAAGGACCTTTCAGGTATCCGATTTTGTATGGAATCTTTGGTATCCCTATCTAATCATACACTCAGAGACTGTGCTCTGGATGGTGATTAGATATGACCGCCCTTCCGCAGCTCCACTTCGATTAGATATTGCCAGTTCGATTAGATAGATATTATGAGTGGCTCCCCCAAACTACATTTTCACCTGTTGAGAGTTATTGGGTGACTAAATCAAAAAGGACTATTCAGCTGACTGTGGCGATAGCTCAACCGGAAGATAGCGGTTTATTGCACTGCATTCTACCAAGTGGCAAGCGAAACACGATCCGTATGAGAGTCGAGGGTAAGTCTATCTACATGAGAAAAGCTGATCGTACTGCTTACGCTGATCACTTTAGAGCGATTTTGTCCGCCTCAACGCAATTCCTCTCATCTTTCCGTCTACCTCACTCGGCGAAATCTTTTCATTGGTACTGTGGCCCAATTCTCTTGCCCAGTGGGCTTCAAAGCCCACGGATATACTACGTCTGTTTGTGAAGACGATGGTACCTGGAGTCATTCGCCACCGAGATGTCATGGTGAGTATTGTTCCACAGCTTTGATTGGGGTTCACGTTTTGTGAATCGTTTCTCGTACAATCAAAGTTCTGCAGTTTTTAAAGCAGTCTGAAATACGGAAACGCTGAGAAGTAAGACTGAAAACGTTACTTCATAATTGCTCAATTTTTTTCGGTCTTTCTTTCATGATCGCGCTTTAATCTTCTTTTCATCTTTGTGTTTAACAATGTTTCTTCGCTATTGGTCATCTCATACTTTTTCATAACTACTTCATTCACGCTTGTTGATTCTCACCCTAAAATTCCTATCTTACTCGTACTTTACTTGAAATCGTACTTCTCTCACTTTTGCCCCTGTCGAAGTGTTTCTTTTAATTTAGTAGTAAATTTCGCCATCCGGAATTTTCTAACCTCGAGTTAGAGTTGCAGAGGGAACCCATTTCAATTTGTTGTTCTTGGAAAACTACTGTACGGTGCGATGCAACGCATGCTAGACACATTTTTGTGCACTTTTCGCTACTGGTGCGTCATTTACCCCCTTTCACTGTAGTAATACCGGAACCGCCGTCTTCACCATTTCCAACTCGCATAGGTAGTAGTCCATGTGATTCTTATTCCATTACCGAATATGTGCGCACACAACGGTGCACCAACTCATTGCCTTCGAATTTACTCGGGGTCATGTTGACATGTTACAGTTCATATCTCGCCGTCTGAGTAGGAGTGCCACCGGGCGCGGCCGCCGCACTTGAAATCTTTCTCGGAAAAATCGTGATTCTATTCACCCATAATTCACTGGCTTGGGACCCATCGTTCACGATAAGAACGAAAAGAACAAAAAAATTGCATTTGTTTTGGTAAAAAATTCGAAAAACCGAAAGGGCTGCTACGCGTTCAAAGTACCGCCGGACATCTGTCACAAATGCTGGCGACGGGAATGCTTCCACTTGGTTCTTGGAGTGCCGTCACTAGAAACTCTTTCTGGCCTTTTGACTTATTGCATTCACATCTCACACTTCTACTGCATCCTATTCTATCGATCGATTTGTCTCTACTCTCCAAAATCGCACGCTTTAACCCGATTCTTTCATTGCGTCGCCTGATACGTAGCCGCCAAGGCGGACTTCTTTCCATGCCCGCCTTTGGCTCCGCGCCTTACCTTCGATTGTCCATAGAGTGTAGTTTTTGTAGTTTGTTTCTCTTCGGAAACCGAATCTTCATGCGTGAAACTTTGTATGTTGTCTCCAGTGATCACAACTGACATGTGGGGAAGAATGCAAGATTTTTCCGGTAAAGATTCCTTTGAAGGCAGATTTACGATGAAAAGTTAGCTCATTGGAAATAAGGGTAGAGGTGGTCAGTGGAGCAGGGATGAAGAAGAAACCATTTGAAACGGCCCGAAACCCGAGAAATGGACCCTTTTTGGATTGATTAGGCAGTCGGTGGGCGTACCCCGCCAACCGCGCCAAGAGTGAGCCATGCTAGATCGCCGAGGTCAAATCTTTCGCTGCCAATTGCGCGTCGGTCAGCACCCTCAGGAGGTCCGCCTGTCTCCCAACTATGCAATTTTCCCCTTCTTTGACCTTCGTTCTTATCGTGAATTCCTCCTTTAATAGAAGCGCGTGGATAAGCTGCCCAGTATGTTTTGCTGGTTTTAAGCGAATTATGTTGGAAGCAGTTTATTCGCGCGACTCCTATCAAGTGCGGCGGGCGTCACGTCATTACCGGTGACACGCCTACTCATCGTCAAATAGCGAGATTTTAAGTGTAGATATCTTGTGTCAGGTGAAGATTTTGAGCAGAATCTTCGCACAAATGCAAGGAGCAGAGCAAATATGGCACTAGCATTCAGGCAAATCATATGTCGTCAAAAATGTGCACACATAAAAATGAACTCATGGGTTTTCAAAGGTAATTTCCAGGCTTGGCCTCACTAACGTAGTCGCTCTCGTGGGTAGAGGGCGCTACCTTCACATATCGAAACACGTCATTGAGGCGCTAATGCGCTACACGCGAAGGAGTTTGATCGAATCCAACTAAAAACAATCAGAAGTACATTGTATGCATCGTAGTTTATTCTGCTATGCTCTCTCTCTACACTATCCTTCCCCTCTTCGCGACTCACATTATCTCTCACCTCCGTGCCTGCCTCTTAGACTATTTCGCATCGTGGAACAAGAAGGCTCATATTATCTGCGTTTCTCACGAATTTTTTTGTCTTCTGGCGTCCACCCTACATCCCTGCCTTCATATTTGCATGGGATTACCACATCATTTGGTCCGATTCCCCTTCAAAGGAAGTGGTCACGATGAATCCTATAGAGACGATAAGAAAAGTTGCGTAGTGAATTAGGTTGAGGTCCTGCTCATTGAGACAACAAGTGACCACTTTCCACTGGCAGTGACGCCTCATCACCGGCGTGAGAATGGCGCTGTAACCCACTTCCGGGGGAGCAACTACACCTACGTATCAACGTGGAAGGGCTTGCAACAGAGTGTAATTGATGTGATACCGTTATTCTTATCTTCCGATTTCCATACCGGAGTGCACCTCAAATCGAGCACCTTCTGGTCACTATCTATCTCAGCTCTTATCGGCTCTTCCCCACCTCAAAGCCAGCGTGATCGTTTCCTCCGAATACAGCTGCGCTTCAAATGCAGCAACAATTTATACTTAACCAGTTTTGCTCCGCCCGCTATCGCGCGCATCACAGGGTAGGGAGGAACCACGGAATAGCAGCATGACGTACTCCATTAACCACCTCACTATTGAATGTGTTATACCTCCTTATACCCCTTCTCTCCGGCGCATGGCAGCACCATGTTCTCCCTCCCTTTCTCCTCTCCCCTCCCCTTCCCTTTCCCCCTCTCCCCTCCCCCGCTCATCCGGCTGCCACGGCAGCACCATGTAGAATGAGACTGAGTGTGCTCGATCGGTGTTTATATAGCCGCTGTGGGTGTTATCATGATCATGACATCAACATCACGAAGTGTTGCCCTTCGTACTCCCTGGTTTTGTGAGCGGTTGGTCCGGACGGACAGAACGACACACGCACACACCGACAAACCGACACACCAAACTTCTGGTTTATATGATGAAGTGATTACGGCCTAGGATGTAAAATGCGAAACGAAGCACGGTGTATCTCTACCTACAAATTCTTTTGGACGGCATCTGTAGTACAATCTCCCGCCGTATACTAGTCATCCTCACTATCTAGCTTATGCTGTCAATGGGCACTGTTTCAAACTATGCTGTCATAATATGTCCGTCGAATTTCTGAGCCCCTTCGTAAAACTTTATTTTTTGCAGCTGTCCAATGTCCACCATTGGCTGTGGACGGTCGATCGATGTCGGTGACAGTTTCTTCATACAAATTCGGTGGAATTGCTCAATTTCAATGTGCCAAAGGGTATGAGGCTTCTTAATCTAATGTTTGTTTTTTGATTTATTTATTTATTTATTTATTTATTTATTTATTTATTATAGACTCAAGGTGCGCCTATGACAATCGCGTGTGTATAAATGCAAAGTTGACTGCTACAGCACATCAATAAACTTAGAGTAAAACAGAGAGATTGTTATTACGATAAAGCCGATATCCTCTTATATATAAAAGCAGCAGTTGGTGTGTTTGTCTGTTTGTAACCAGGGGCTCGCACGCTACGTAGACCCAAGAAAAACAGTTAAGGCATGGTCCCGGATGGGTAGGAAGCTGCCCCTTGGGCGTGTAGGGTGAAGGTAGGGCTTGGTTAGAAAGGGTATGGTAGTGGGCGGGCCCGGTCAGGTGGGCGGGGCTTGCGCTGGAATCTCCTTAGAAAACACAGGTTTTTGTGCAGAGGCCCCCAATTGCTAAGCGAATCGCAACATTGATCGGGTAGTGTCGTAGGAGTTAGATTTTGGATGGATCACAGGTTATCGATCGATATCGATTGAAAATATCGGTTTTTGCGCAGGGTGCTCGAATAAGGTTGGGAATCACATTATTGATTGATGGCTGCAGTAGTAGTGGAAATCCCAATGGTCACATGGTATCGATCGATATCGATTGAAAATATCGGTTTTTGCGCAGAGTGCTCGAATAAGGTTGGGAATCACGCTATTGATTGATGGCTGCAGTAGTAGTGGAAATCCCAATGGTCACATGGTATCGATCGATATCGATTGAAAATATCGGTTTTTGTCTGGGAGGCTCAGATTTGCTTACTAATCACACTATAGATTGATGGGGTCGCAACAATTAAAATTCTATTAAGTCACGTGGTATCAATCCTTCTTATATATGTAAAGCAGCAAGGTTTTGACGAAAGTTGTGTTTGTCTGTTTGTAACCAGGGGCTCGCACGCTACGTAGACCCAAGAAAACAGTTAAGGCATGGTCCCGGATAGGTAGGAAGCTGCCCCTTGGGGCGTGTAGGATGAAGGTAGGGCTTGGTTAGAAAGGGTATGGTAGTGGGCGGGGCCCGGTCAGGTGGGCGGGGCTTGCGCTGGAATCTCCTTAGAAAACACAGGTTTTTGTGCAGAGGCCCCCAATTGCTAAGCGAATCGCAACATTGATCGGGTAGTGTCGTAGGAGCTAGGATTTTGGATGGATCACAGGTTATCGATCGATATCGATTGAAAATATCGGTTTTTGCGCAGGGTGCTCGAATAAGGTTGGGAATCACATTATTGATTGATGGCTGCAGTAGTAGTGGAAATCCCAATGAGTCACATGATATCGATCGATATCGATTGAAAATATCGGTTTTTGTCTGGGAGGCTCAGATTTGCTTACTAATCACACTATAGATTGATGGGGTCGCAACAATTAAAATTCTATTAAGTCACGTGGTATCAAGCAGTATCGATCAAAAATATCGGCTTTCATCAAGTAGGCTTGGAAAGACCCCTAGAACGAGTTATGAGAGTTCTTCTTATCGAGAAACACTCCTTCAGAGAACGCTCCACCCACAACGGGCGGGCCTCCCAGATTCGACTTTTAAACCCAGTGCACACCTTTACTCTTTTTTCGGTGTTTTGGCTATACCAATACCCAAACTTGAGCATTCTGCCGTCGGCTGCTCCTAACTCGACGCATGCCCCGCCCACTGTGGGCGGAGTTTCCCATGGTCCGTGTCTGCCCCTGTAGCCTGACTCATTCTCTACCCATCCCGAACTTGACCTGGACCCTGATGGTGGTTCCTTAGATAGTACTTAATTTTTTTCAAGTAGACACACAAAGGCTTAGCCCTCTATATCCCCTCTATCCTCTTATATATAAAGCAGCAGTTTGGTGTGTTTGTCTGTCTGTTACCACTAAGGGCTCCGCACGCCCAAGTAGGGCTCCTCCGATTAACTCAAATACCGCTCCCCTTATTGAGAGCTGCGAAACACACATTAACCCTGCCACGAGAATCCATCCTCTCCAGCTGTGTCTCGCGCGCGGTATCGTGCGCAGCTAAACTGGTATGTGTATATTTTGGGACGCGATCCTTTCTATGGAGTAAAGTGCTGCGTTTCTAAGGTAGTACACAAATAGCTGCACCCTCACGACCAGGAGGTCCACGTCAAAGCCACTGTTTGTAAGGACGTTCGTTAGTGCGGATTCCATGGGTACGCTAAGCGGGCTAAGGCCTTACTCTGACCGCTGCGACCATTGTCATTGTAACACGTCGCGGTGTCTGCGCGCTCCTGTATGACGTTCTCCTTTCTACGGTTTTTTTTATTTTTTCCCTATTCATTGACTGAGTCCCTCGCTGCATTTTCAAACTGAGAAGCGCAAAAAAGTCGACCGTGAATCGTGCCTTTCAAGGCGCCGCTTTATTGTACATACAGCTTACATGGTTTGTCGCTTTATATGCATTTGTTCTTGTATGTAAGTATGTATGTCTATCTAGCTGTTCGCAAAATGGAATTGTAGAGGCCCATTTAAAGACACGGGCCGGGATCGAACTGGGGCGTTTTGGCGCTGGAAGGTGAGTGCAGAGATGCGAAATGTAACGCCAGTGAAGGAAAAAGCGGAATAAGCCGTCGAAAAGGTCGAAAATGAAACCTACCCAATAGTGGTAAAGGAGGCAAGCTTAGGAATGCAATGAATGCATGTCCGAACTAGTTTTTGGAATCGCCAAGCATTGCCAGCTCCGTGAAAGAGGCTGATACGGCAATCAACCCAGCTGGCCAGGGTTGTTGTAGCCGCGGTGCCGAGACACGAGATGCGGCTCTCTATAGACTGCCAGACCTAGTTCATAAGTTATTGACAGAAGCGCGTTCTTCAAAGGCAATTTAGATTAATTGTAAGTGATTCCACTCAATGTGAAAGTAGGGGTAGGAAGTGGACCGCCAGTGAGAAAAAAATCGTGAAAATGCACAGGAAATACGAGCCTTTTGCTCTACGCTGCGGAGAAGTTCAAAAGGCCGGCAGGGAGATGAGAGATAATGTGAGCGCGGAGAGCGCTAGAGAAGTCCGAGTAGAGAGAGCATAGCAGATCAAATTAATTTGTTCACGGTATTATGTACACATATTGTCTCAGGGCGGAAGTGGTGTAGTGGCAAGTGGCACGCTTACCACGCGAGCGGTCCGGGGATCAAATCCTGGGTCGTGAGTCGCCCGGGCCAACCAAGCCTTCCATCCCTCCGGGGTCGGTTAATTGGTACCAGACTTGTCTGGGAGGATAAAAACACTGACTTGTACATCGGCAAGTCATTGTATAGGCCACATCGCATTCAAACGCCACTACGAATGTACAAATGGAAGTAGAATGCGTGCCGCATCCCAAAAAGGGATTGATCAACGGCAAATGCTTTATCCTTTTATCCTTTATTGGCACTCGGTATAGCGCAAGCTTTGTATTGTAAAGCTAAAATCATCCCACAGACCTTAAAGGACGAATTTACGATGAAAAAGCAACCCATTTCAAATTAAGTTAGGATGGTGAGTGGTACACGAAAGAAGGAAAAACCATGAGAAACGGCCCAGAACCCGAGAAATGGGACCCCTTCCTTGCCCGTTGATTTGCGCATTGATGCGACTCTCATCGCTGTGCCCTCTTCAACACTACGCTCTCTCTGCTATCTAATCACTCGCCACGTATAGACCTGCGGCGAGTGATTAGATAGTCGGTGGGCGTACCCGCCAACTGCGCCAAGAGTGAGCCATGCTAGATCGCCGAGGTCAAATCTTTCGCTGCCAATTGCGTCCGCACCCTCAGGAGGTCCGCCTGTCTCCCACTAGGCAATTTTCCCCTTCTTCGACCTTCGTTCTTATCGTGGAATCCTCCTTTACGTTACACTTGTTACTTTACCGATCGCCTGTCACTTTGGTCTCCTGGGGTATTCAGATCGCATCACCTAATACAGCAGATTAAACCAATGTCCATTTGGATTGCCGCACAGTATGCCGCGCACGATGACGCCCATCGTGTGAAAGGCACGCCCTCATGAGCTCACGATTGGATCGACCATCCCTCTACTTCACCATCTAGAGCATTGGATGACCAATGAAAACCCCACATGCACGGGGCGCAAACCCGCCTTTAAGATCACGTACAGCATGGGGTTTCAACGACTTTTTGCAGTTTTTTATTATCTTTCATTAATGTTGTACCAACTACCTCTCTTACGGTAATCCTCGAGCGCAATACTCCTTCCCTACACGATCGCGAATGTGCTTTTCAATCATGGATCATTTGATAATAAACAAAAGTGTTCAAAAATTTGTTCCAGGTACTCACTGATTGGCTCGGAACATATTCATTGCAAGAGCGACAGTACGTGGAGCGCCAAGATACCTTTCTGCACTAGTAAGTTGTGTAATGCCAAAAGTTTGTAGACGTTTTTCAACTCACCATCAATTAAGAATGTTTGCCCTTAAAGGCACAACCCAGGCAGAGGTCGTGTGAACGCTTCCCTTCGGTCTGTAGTATAGACCCCTAGAGGACAATCACAAATGTGGCGTTCCCGTGCACGGAAACCAACCGACAAGAGCGCTTGGGCCTTGCAAAGTAAGCTGCTGAAGCTGCAGATTTTTTCTCTTATCAGGCTGTTGTCTGGCGCTCTCATCTGTAGCGCTCTCTCGCCTCATACTCTCCTCTCCGCGCTTAGTCTCTCATTCCCTTAGCACAGCCGATTAGGAAGGTGAGTGAGCCCTTAACCTAGCGTTTTCGACGGATTCTTTTCCTTTTTTACTGCCGGCCCATTTCGCACCAATACATTCGCATTCGTGTGCAAGAGCCACACCAATGGCTGCAAGTTTGAGGATAGTGTTAGGAGAAATGGATGGATTGTAATCGTAGATATACTATTCCATGTATACAAGACAAGTATAATATGTCACCAGTTATTTCACAAATGGTAACGTCACACCTGAGAAACATGTGTGCACGATGCGTAATAAACGTAGGATGAGGCAAGTGGGATAGGGTCAGAGGGGGAGAGGAGAGAGAG